TGGATTGAGGGCAGGAATATGTTACGAATAAAAGAGATGATTGATTGATTAGTCTGTAAAAAACTTTTTAAATATGCTATAACTCAGATAGTTTCATCGTTAGTTCTACCAGCGTTATCGATAAAAGAAGTAACGTGACCTATTAAAGATGTGGTGCTATTTATTAAGGTTATGATAATGCTAATGACTTGTGAAGGATCCACGTTTACTCTGGAAGAAAAATACCCAATAAAGAAAGCAGAAACTAAACATTGTACACCAGTTTTAATAAAAATTCACTTCTGTAATCATATAGTACCAAGCGCAGTGGTTGGTATTAAAAGAGTTTGCACACTTTGTAAAGGTAGGCTAACAAAAGCATGTGGTTTGGGTGGACTATTTAAAGTTCACTCAATTGAACTATAACTACGGTTTAATAAAGTTTGGAATAAATCACTGAAAAATTGAGGTGTTAATCAAGGGTATCTAGATGTAGCGTTTCCTTCTACAAGTTGTACGTATACTATGTATAAAAACAGTCCAGTGGCTACTACACTAATAATTGAACCAAAACTACTTACATAATTTCAGCCTGCAAATGCATCCGGATAGTCACTAATTCTTCTTGGCATACCTTGTAAACCTAAAAAGTGTTGAGGGAAAAAAGTTACATTTACACCGATAAACAGAATTAAAAAATGTACTTTACCTAACTTCATGTTATAAGATAGTCCAGTTATTTTCGGTATCCAGAAATATCATGCACTAAATAAAGCAAATACTGCTCCCATACTTAATACGTAATGGAAATGAGCAACTACATAGTAAGTCTTGTATTAATTTTTATATATTAAGGTGCAGTTTTTTAATTGTTAATTAATGTTTATATTTATATTTAAAACTAAATATAAATATGAATAAAATAAAAAACAAGTAAGTTTCCTTTTTATCTAAAACAAACTTTTATAAAGTTTGCCATACAACACTGCTCACGCAGTGGATCGGACCATAACTTATCTAATCATTTAACTTAATAAACTTTTGATTGTCACGTTTGGCCTCTACGGATCCTACTTACTAAAAATTTAGCTTTGGTTTCCACGGTATTATCTTATATATTTTACGGTTTTCCGCATTAAGAAAACATATAAGACTTCACCGTTAGCAAAAATGAATTTTTACCGAAAAATGTATGAAATTTTTCATGGTGACAAGACAACACGACACTTACTTAAGAATTTTTTGATTGAATTTTTTTAATGACTCTGATTTTTCACCGAGTAATGGGTAGTTAGTACAATGAGTAGTTATTTTTAATAATACTTCTCTTTTATATACCTCTATTAAATAGAAATCACGACAAGGTTTTCTAACTTTGTTATTTATCTCAAAATACTGTTTAATAGCCTCTATTAAATAAAGATCATTTTTTTGTGCTATTGAAAAGGAATGATTATTAGATTTTCGTATTGAAAAACAACCTTCCGCTTCAATAAACCCAGATAACCATTCACTAAAATAATTAAGAGTATTAAAATTAAATTTAGCATTTACAATAGTTAATTGTTTATCATATTTAAGACTTCTATTTAATAAATAAGCTTTTACTGAGGTTTCAGTTAAACATGTTTTTAGAAATGCAAGTTGACAAATCTTATTAGAAGTTAAAGGGGGATAAATATCAAAAATTTTTATAATTTCCTCAACTTTTTTTTTATCATTAACTACTCAAATAACATGCTTTTCTTTACCTGTTATTCTTACCGTACCACCTATTACCTTGGCTATTTCAATTAACATATTATAATTAGATTTTAGATTAGATAACTTTATAATTAGTCTGTATTGTAAGATTTGTTTACGTCAATGATTTACTTGAATGCTTCCATCTCCGTCCATCAACCCTACTCAAAACATTTTTATATATTCATTATAATTATTTTTATTAAGATAATAGTCAATATAAAGGTTAGTACCTGAAATTTTAGATTCACTCGGGCTCATAATAAAAAAACTCAATATAATTATATAAACTATAAAACTTCTATCGTGGAATGCTATATCAAGGGACGCGTTAGCCAAAACGACTCCACTTAACCCTCCTATTGTGAACATTACTACAAAACCTAATGCAAATAACATTGAAGGTGTTAAATGTATTGATCCACCGTATGTAGTAGCTAATCAACTGAATATTTTTATTCCAGTTGGCACGGCTATTATTAATGTAGCGGCGGTAAAATAAGCTCTTGTATCCACGTCTAGACCTACAGAGTACATGTGATGGCTTCAAACTACAAAACCTAATACTCCAATTGACATCATAGCGTAAACCATCCCTAAATAACCAAAAACGTTTTTATTAGAACTGGCGGATATTGTTGTACTTATTATACCAAAACCTGGTATAATTAATATGTAGCTGTTTCTTTGATTAACTGAATACCATCCATAGTTTTGGAAATGTATTATCATTAATTCTCAAGAACTTTTATATTCTTGTTAGGACTTTATCTTAAATTGTAGTATTTTTTAGCAGAAGATCGTGATGGTTTATTAAGGCTTTTATTCTCAATATTTTAACTAAGCCTTTTTCCGTTAAATGTTCTCTATTTTGTATTAATGTATACACTTTTCTTCATCTTAAATAACTTACATGCTTTCTAGACTGTAAATGAAATTTATCAAAATACTGTATAACATTTTTAGCTGAACCAAAACTAGTTGAACCGTAATAATAAGTGTCTTGTGCTTTTCTATAACCAATATTTCCACCTAGATTATTTTTTATACTTTTTAACAAAAAATATGTTTTCTGGTCAATTTGAAAATTTAATCTTATTTCTGGTTTATTTCTTGTAATACGTTTAATAATTTTTATTTGAAAACTACCATCCGCATCCGTAAAACCAGCTAATCAATGATTATTAAAATCGTTACTTGTATTAAGAGTAAAATTAATATTAAAATCTTTATATTTGTCATTTGCTAATATATTATTAACTACTTGGTCAAATCTATGTTTTGTTCTTAATTTATCATTTATTAAGCTAAGTACTTTTAATATACCCTTTTGACTAGATACAATTAGAACATAAGCATTTTTATCCTTCACTTTGCTAACATTACCGTGACCTAATTTTTCTTTCAAATAATAAGCCAGAAATGCGTCTGGCTTACTAAAAACAATAATAAGTTGTTGGATTTTACTAAAATTACCGTCACCATCTATTAATCCAGCTAAATAATGACCTAATTGTTCCTCATTTAGAGGTTTTAAATGTTTAGATACGTGGATTGATACAGATTTTACATATTCTGAGTTTACTACAATTCCGTTGCGTAAAGTCTCTGAGGTTCCATTTGTTATATTTAAAATGTTACCTGCTGATAAACTTCTTCGTTTTAACTTTTTTACTATGTCGTATTTGATGGAGTATTTAAAACTATATAGCGAAGTGGTCCCAGCATACAGCAACGTTAAGAGGCCTACATTTGTAACCTCTGGATGTCCAAAAAATCAGAAAAGATGTTGGTATAATATAGGATCTCCACCTCCGGCTACTTCAAAGAATGAAGTGTTAAAATTACGATCCGTTAACACCATTGTTATTGCACCGGCCAGAACTGGTAAAGATAATAATAAAAGAACAGCTGTTATCACTACAGCTCATCCAAATAAAGCCAATTTGTGTAATCTAATACCTGGACTTCTCATATTTAATATTGTTGTTATGAAGTTCATAGCACCTAGTAAACTACTTATTCCTGATAAGTGTAAGGCAAATATAGCTAAATCTACACTAGGTCCACTGTGACTTTGTAATCCTGATAAAGGAGGGTAAAGAGTTCAACCTGTTCCCGCTCCATTCTCTATCATTCCTGCGAAAATAAATAATAGGAAACTAGGTATTAATAATCAGAAACTTATATTATTTAGTCTAGGGAATGCCATATCTGGACCCCCCACTAACAATGGTAATAAGAAATTTCCGAACCCTCCTATAAGTGCGGGCATAACCATAAAAAATATCATCACTATAGCATGAGCGGTTATTATACTGTTATATAATTGATTATCCGCGATGTACTGTACGCCCGGTCCAGATAATTCTAACCTTATCAAGACAGAAAAGGCAGTTCCTGCTAGACCTGCGAATAATGCAAAGATCAGATAAAGGGTTCCTATATCCTTTGCATTACTTGACATAAATCAACGTTCTTTCCACATCGTTATACTGGATCATCTTTCTTCTGATCTGTCCTGGTCCGTATCTGCGATATTTATAAAGGAACTCATTTGTTTTTATATGTTTTTTTTTACGCTATCACCAGATGTTTAGTGTTACATTTTTTTTTTATTATTTTTTTTACTTAATTTGAAAGATTATTTAAAAAGAGAGAGGCCTCTCTTTTTTATGTTTTACCATTTTTTGCCTAAAAAAGCTGTTTTTAATAAGCGATCTCTGTTAAAACCGCTATTATTTTTTCTTGAAGATTTTTGTAAAGTTTTTATTTCTACGATTTATTTTTAAAATACACTGCTAGAAAGATTGTATTTTCTAATCGTTCGCTTTACAAATATTTTTGTTGTTGTATTATTTTTGTAAGATTTTACTAAAAAAGGTGTTTTTTAGTAAACATTTAATATTTTTGAGATTATTTTTCCTTATGTCTTTTTTCGCGAAAAGCACTTTTTAATTGGCAATTATAAAAAGCACTTTTTATTACAGTGCATAATTAAAAAGATTTCCGAATAAAATAGATTTTTAAGAATTTTTTATTTTTTGTTTTTATTACATATATTTAACTCCAATTGTAATAATTGGAGTAAGATTTATGTTAGAATTGTAGTTTTATTTGTTATTTATTTTTACATCATTACTGCGAATTTTTACTTATTTAAAGTTTATTTACTTAAATTATTAAGATTAAATTTATTTTTTACTTTATTATTTACAAATTTTTTTCGTCGGATATAATTAATATCTGTTTCGAACATATGTTATATTACTAGAGTAGTGCGGACAAAGGATTTGAACCCTTATCGCCTGATCATGAGCCAGAAATGTTACCCTTACACCAATCCGCATTTTTTTTTTAATAGGTGACAAGCACCAATCCCTTTTTAATTTTGAGAAATAGGTGAGTCGAGCACCTGACCATTCGCGTGTAAAACGACTGCTCTACCACTGAGCTAATTTCTCTTTGACCCAGGAGGGATTTGAATCCTCGTTGTAACAGTGAAAATGTTATGTCTTAACCAAACTTGACGACTGGGTCAGGAATAATTTGAATCTTGGTTACAACAGTAAGATTGTTATGTCTTAAGCATATTAAATAAGATTATGTTGGAGAGATATATTTTTTTAATAAAAGTTTTAATATATCTGCGAATACTTGCAATAAACCATAGTATCCTAATATATTAGGTCCTAAATTTAAGGCTCTATATAACTAGGGTGTTCCTAATTGGGATCCGCATAATCCTCAATTAGTGAACCACTGTTTCTACTTTTTGCTTAGTTATTATCGTTTCCATTCATATTACCCTTATTATAACCAACATTAGTATAATTACTTTTATCATAATTTAACCTCTAAATTACTCTATCAAATTAAATACCTTTGTTTATATTATCTATCTGTTCATAAGCTAACGTTACACCTCTAGGGATTAATCTATTTCTCACTTCATTTAATATGCATTGTTGTTATTTTAAAGCACCAACTTGGTGCTTTAAAATCTTTCCAAAAACTTTGCATGTGTTTGTGTGGCTATTGAAATATTGCCCTTGTATCTGTATTTTGTGCACTACATCTCTAGGGTTGTTGCTGTACATATCTTACATTAATTAAACACTAACAGCTTATTTAAATATATTATTAATGTTTAAAGTTAATCTTTGGTTTTTGTAAAGGAAAATCAGCCATAAGATTATTTTGTATACTATTTATCTCTTTTTTAACCCATTGAGTAAAATTTTTATTTATTTCTAATGATTAATGTAAAAGTTTTATTTGTTCGTTATTTATTTCTCTAAAAAATCTCAATCCAAATTTTCCTTTTTTTTATTATATTTAAAAATCTCTATTAATTAAAAAACAAGAAAAATCTTGTTTAATTTTTAAGCAAAATTTGGATATTTTATTTACTGGACTTTAAACAAAATAAAAATAAAAAAAAAATTTTTTTTTTATTAATTACTCTAAAACTGACCTCGTTTTAGCCCGGTGTAAGTATCGCACTTACTTCCACCGATTACAAAACGGTAGCATTACTTTTATGCTAACCAGGCATTATATGATAACTGTATTATTTAGTAAATTTTTTTTAATTAGTACTTTATGCCTAAAAACCGCAAAGTTCTTGTAGCCAAAGCCTAAACACGATGTGACACGTAGTGTTTTACTACGTGTTTAAGAGTATAATAAAGTAAGTTTCGTGCTTATATGCATTCAGCGCTTACCTTTAATTGACGTGGCTTTCTTGCCATGCTATGCTAAGTTGAAAGCCCGGCCTCATCTATTTAGTTTATTATGCCAGTTTCGCTCATCTATTTTAGTTTATTGCTTATTGTATTTCCTTGATTCTAGTAAAAATCTATTAAATGTACATAACAACAAGTAAACTATAGGTCAACATACCCAATTCCTTTCGTACAAGGGGTCTATCTTTATTTTACTCTAAATTCCCCTAGA